CATTATTGACCTTCAAGCTATGATTATTCCTGAACATCACATGGCAGCATTAGGCTGATCGTATCAATTAACTCATTGCCATAAGGCCCTCTTTGTCCTTGCTGCTTGCGTCAAGCACTTCTTGAAGATTAAGTTAGGCATGGAACTAAAAAATGATGATAATTTGACCTTTCTAGATGCCCTAGTTAGTAGAGGGAAGCATATAGAGCAGGAATATAAAGAAGTCATCAAAATGGAGTGCTCCGTTATTTACAATATAAGTTTCGAGGACTCTAAGGAAAAGATCAGCGACTATCCAGGAAATGGGTACGGAGAGACCGGAGATAGCTTAAGACATAGCCCTGCCTGGCCACACTCGACTGGAGTGCATTGAAAAGATTCACGTAATATTGGAAGAACACCAGAAAACAGAAGGTCAGAGGCGGTGGACAACCTGATGAACAGGAGATTGGAAGCGGGAAGAGTCAGTGATAATTTCGCGGACCGCCTGAGCATACTTAGAGATTCAGCGGGGACACCATAAAGTAGACACTTGTACCAATGATAAGTATTCAACGACATTTTGAGACATCGCCAAGAAGAGGATCCTAATGGACAGAGGAAAATCACAAAAAGACGATTGATGTGAGAGGAGTCAAACGTGGAATTCCCCGAAATTTACCATTGTTTGTCCACCTGTGTGATATAGGATAGGAAATTAAAGACTCGAATTATGCAGATTATACACAAAATAAGTGCTAGGTCAAAGATACAAGTCCTACCACATTAATCAAGGTTTGAAGATCAATCTAAGGCTCACGATGTCCGTTGGTCACCATTGTGCGTGTGCGCGCATTTTGTGTGCCTTAATGCAAAGTCGTTTGTTATGTACCTGATCACGGGAGGATACTCATCAGCCTATACACGAGCAACTGACTATAACCTTAGCATAGTATATGACTGTCAACTTGCTAAACAAAGGGAGTGTGCTTTATGCGATTCGGGAGTGGATGAGGTAATTCAATTTTACAGCAGTGGTTCCGGATTAAGTTGGACACAGGGCCCCAAAGAATATCATACAGCGGACGATTACTGGGTATGGGCATCATCTGTTCTAAATCCTCAAATATCATGTAAACGGGGGCTGGGGATTGAAAGAGTATAGGCAGTAAGATTTCAGATAGTAAAATAGTGATTTTGATGTGCAATAGGGACCAAATAACAAACTGATGGAAGAGGGGGCCTAGTCAAAAGCCCTGTAAATGGCATTTGAAACCGATGATGCTGATTACAGCTTACTAAATCCACTTGTAGTGAAATTTGAGGAAACGAGAGCACAGAATGATGGGAATAAGTAAATAGGCAATATGTGGTGGTCGAAGGTATAAAGACCAAGATGGTGTGGCCTTTTGTCTGGTCGCAGTCTCATATCGTTGTATAGAAGTTGTTTGAACTTGTTTTCGCAATATGTGGTGGTGTTAGGAGAAAGAAATGTAGCACTAAGAGGTAGTACAAAAACTAGTGGCGAAGGGTGATGTCACAGCGGTTAAACGGAAAAATGGCCAAGGGGATTGTCTTCATTTGTCAATTTGATAAGTTGTAACTGTGCTAACGATTATGCCTCTCACTGACGATGCTGGCGAAACGTCTGGTAATGTACAAAGTCAATAGTCCTAGCGTAGATATGAAGACCGAGATGATGTGGTCTTCTGTTTGGTCACAATCTTCTTTAGCTTTAGTGTTGGTTCGACCTTGTTTCCGTAAGTTGGTTGGAGCGTCAGGGAGGCCTCGTGGAGGGCATCTAGTCCCGTGTTCATTGCCATATCCATGATTTCCAGCATTCGACCATTTGCTGGGTACATTTCCAAACGTTTCTCCAGCATCGTAGTCGGCAGAGGACATAGGACTAAGTACATTTCACAAGGTCGAATCAACACTGTAAAGCCAAAGGGGACGCGACCAAACAGAAGGCCATACCATCTTCATATCTATGATCTAATTACAGTGGTAAGCTTGCCAGCCAATGCACTGATTATAGCATATCAGAGAATTCAATCTTGAGTCAATCCAGTCATTTGACCGTTCTTAAATGTTGTAAATATTATGGCATTCCTGCTAGTTTTTGCAGTTTGATGAAAAATTATCGTTTACATAAAGTCAATTCTCTATTATGTCAAACTTCTTTGCAAAAATTAGAGGAGATAAATAATAGGGGGAGGTGAAAATTAGTTAAGTTTTTAGATTAACTAATGGCGCTATTTATTAAGGCCCTAGAATCACGGACACTGCCGCTTCACTGAGCAGAGCGCCTAAACTCTGATTTCCATGCTTGCAGATATCAGGCTTTCCCCTCACGGATCCTCCCCTTGATTAAACCCATGAAACCTGAGAAAACTGTGGACGCCTATCTCTGGTTGCATGTGGCATCTCAAATGGATTTCTAGTACATTTTGGCCATAAAGTCGAATTTCTGTGTCGGTTTGCCTATCTGTCCACCTAGCTCACTGAATGCCAGGCACCAAAAGTTGTACTGGTTTATTCGAAACGGATATCACTCACTGACAATGTCTTCGCTTGATTGCCCAAACTCCCCACCCCACTTTCCTCATTGCGATTCCTTTTCCTTCGGTTAGCGATAGATCCCTGGTCCAGGTGTTTCCTTTTTGCTGATCCTGCTGTATTCT